ATCCCCAGAACGTGGGGTACTTAGAGAGTACCAAATTGCTGTGTAACCAACCAGCCCAGCCTTGGACTTTGGTGGTTTCTTTCATCTCTGGGAGCACAGGAAGCATCCCCAGTCTTGGTTTACAGAACATTGATGAAATCTACGGCCAGGACCTAGTTCGGTGTTCCTAGCTGGGTGCTGTCCTGCAGAGGAATAAGGAATGCGGTTGAAGCTAAGATTCTTTATACCTACCCTACTGAATTGGCAACTCATTGTGTGTAAGGGTAAATCAGATAGATTGGCAATGCCCTTCACAGGTGGCCCATCATTCACCAAGAGCAAAGCAAGGATGGCTTCTGAGATGCAGCTGAAATTGGTATTGAGCCTCCTGCCTAGCAACCTCAGATCCTGGGGGACTTGGACCAAGTGTCCTGGTCAAAGAGTAGATCCCAGCTTGGGCCCCTAGCCTGGACAAGACAGCACAGTCAAGTGGGCCCAGACTCACGCTGCGGGTTGGCGGTGTGTAGGAGCCCAACCGAGCTGCGTGCTAATGGACTGGGCTACCCCCATGCTACTACAAGACTAATAGACAAGGCTAAGATTGTTCCCCAGCTTCCCCCTGTCTCTCTTATTCTGCCAGGCATATCCCACATCCCCAGCCACTCCAGGATCCAGAGACTCTGCCTGTGGAGTCCAGTCAGCCTAGCTGGTAGCTAGGTCAGTCTCTGGGAGATGAAGTATCGGCGCAGCCTCGCATTCCTCTCTGCTGCAGAGATCTCCAGACCCTATTGCGACGGCAGATGGACCCCTCCCAGAATCGTTTCAGCCTTTCCCAGAGAGAGGGGCAGCAGTCAGGATAGGCACCTCTCCTGCACCGCCTCTTCACTTGGGATGAAGGGTCTGGGGACCAGGTTTGTGTTGTCAAACTGGGCAAGGTCCTTAGCACTGAGCTCACAGGACAGACAGACAGACTAACACTGTAAGTCCTCAAGAGCTCTGCAATACTCCGGGACGGGCGGAGCTGGCGGCAGGAAAAGAGGGTGGATTTGCTGGGAAGTTTTAGCCTGGAGGAAGGGTCTAAGTTAGTGGCCCAGCCTACTCCGTTAGCCCTGCCCCCTCCGGTGCCAAGGAATGTGCTAGGCGAGGCGACTGAAGGGAGGGCGGGGCAGGCGGAGCCGAGGCCACCCGGACACGGAGCACAGGTCTGGGCTGAGGGGCACGGGACCCAAGAGGGGCAGGGGTTCCAAGTACTCTCGAGGGCACAGGTGGTCTCCTTCGAGAAGAGGAGTGAACCCCCTAATTCCTTGTCCTTATCTCCGTCTTCGGGGAGTGGGGTAGGGGGGAGACTCCTTGAAGTCAACGGATCTGGTTGAGGACCAAACGGGGTTCTAACAGGAGGCAGCCTCGCTGCTGGGGGCCCTTTATTGCACACCGGCCAGCAGAGGCTGAGGACCTTCACGGCAGTACTGAATGCCCCAGGCTAGGTCCAGGAGGGAAAAAGGGAAATAGCTGTGGCCAGCACCGGCTGCTGCCCGTGTAGGAGCCCATTCCGGACTCAGTGGTTGACTCTACCCTGAATCTGGTTGTAGAAATCTGTGGATGGGTGCCAATCCCTAACCCACCCCTGTTCTATCTCCAGGACAACGTGGAGATACCTGGCCACCATGCTCAGTCTCAAGCTGCCTCAACTTCTTCGAGTTCACCAGGTCCCCCGGGTGAGGGGCCCCAACCCATCACCAACTTTGCCTCTCCCCAGAGGCCTCACTGGTGCAAAGATTTCCCTCTTGTTAGCTAGTAGGGAAGCTCGTCCTGCAAGTTAACTTTCTTATCTCTCTATTGCAGTATAGAACCTGCGACCCCTCCCCAAAGCCCCAAATATCCCTCCATCCAGAGTCCCTTTCTGCAGAACACCCTATGTGTGCATTCCCCCATCCTACCTGATCTCACTATGGGTCTGTGAGTTTGGAAGACTGGTAAGAAAGGGTTGGATTGAGTTTGGCTTGGGACTACGGAGATCTCCAGCGTAACTTCGATCCTGTTTCCAGACACTTTTTATTTTTTGAGACAGGGTTTCTCTGTGAAGCCCAACTGTCCTGGAACTCACTCTGTAGACCAGGTTGGCCTCGAACTCATGGAACGCCTGCCTCTGCATCTGTAGTGCTGGGATTAAAGGCCAGGCTACAAGACACTTTTCATGCAGGGGATAGGCCTGCATACCATGACCCCTCTGCTTTCTCCCCCACCACCCCCAGGTGTTCTGGGAAGACAACATCATGTCTGGCTACCGACGCCCCACAAGCTCGGCCTTAGACTGTGTCCTCAGCTCCTTCCAGATGACCAATGAGACGATCAACATCTGGACTCACTTCCTGCCCACCTGGTGAGCAAAGGCTCTGCCTTAGGTTCAGACGGGGTGCCAGGCGGGCAGGGACTGGACAGGCACTCTGGCCCCAGCGCCTGAGCAGGTGCCCGGCACAGGTACTTCCTGTGGCGCCTCCTGGCGTTGGGTAGCTCGGGCTTCCCCGCGGAGCCCTACCACCTGCCGTTGCTGGTCTTCCTACTGCCCGCCTGCCTCTACCCCTTCGCATCCTGCTGCGCGCACACCTTTAGCTCCATGTCGCCCCGTGTGCGCCACATCTGCTACTTCCTGGACTACGGGGCGCTCAGCCTCTACAGCCTGGGTGAGCTGAGGGCAGTGGGTGATGGTGGGGCGCAGAGGATGAGCCCGCAGGCCTCAACTTGCACCTCGCCGCAGGCTGTGCCTTCCCCTATGCCGCCTACTCCATGCCGGCCTCCTGGCTACACGGTCGCCTGCACCAGTTCTTCGTGCCTACTGCTGCGTTCAATTCCTTCCTGTGCACCGGCCTCTCCTGCTACTCGCGGTGAGTTACTGCACTGCTTTTGAGCCACCCCAGTACCCAACCCAGTAGGAGGCCTTACTGTTGGCCAGCGTGCTACCCTGGAAAGGCAGTTGTCTTTATTCTTTGTGGCCACTTAACAGCGGTGTTTACACGGGGCGAGGATCCTGTGTCCTGAGGGCTTTCTCTTTTATTTTTTATTACATATATTTGTGTTTACCATACCTGTTGAGTTATCTCACCAGCCCCTATTTCCTTCCCCCCTCTCCCTTCTTTCCTTTTATTTATTCTTTTTCCTCGCTTCCTTTTGTTTGTTTGAGACAGGGGTTCCCACTCACCCACCCGGAACTCACTCATGTAGCCAGGCTGGTCTCAAAAAATGATATCCCCATCTCTGCTTCCCAAGCGCTGGGACTAAAGGCAGGCACCACCACCCTGAGACAGGGTCTTGAACTGTCTGATCCTCCTGCCTCTACCTCCCAATGCTGGGGTTACAGGCAGGTCTCAACACATGCTTCCTGATGTTCTTTTAGCCACTGAGGTCCTTCACCCCCTTCTGACCCCAAATAACTTCTTGATCTGCACTCACCCCAGGGATGGAGACTAACCTGCTCTTCTTGCCTGTCAGGTTTCCAGAGCTAGAAAGCCCTCGACTCAGCAAGGTTCTGCGCACCACCGCCTTTGCCTACCCCTTCTTGTTTGACAACCTCCCGCTGTTCTACAGGGTAAAGTACCTGGGCTCTCCACAGACCCTGCCCTGCCAGTCAGTCTCCCTCAGCTCTCTGCACTCCGGGCACAGGACCGTGGTACCCAGCACCCAGCTGCTCTCTTTTCTCTCCCCAGCTGCAGCTGTGCTGGGGCAGGACCCACAGCTGTGGGCAGGAAGCATTGAGCTCCAGCCATGCCTACCACCTCCTCTGCGCTCTGCTCACAGGCTTCCTTTTCGCAGCCCGTCTGCCAGAGCGCCTGGCACCTGGGCGCTTCGACTATATTGGTGAGCACAAGCCTGTCTTCTCCAAGTGTAGAGTGAGCCAGGAACATGGGGTATCCTAGCCTGAGGGTGAATGATAAAGCCAAGAGCGATGTCCAGTCCCCACTCCACTGCGCCCCACCCAGCCCTCAGTAATCACAGAATTTAGGGCTTTATGCAACTCAGTCCAATCGCTCTTCCAGAACCTTTAGGGATCTGGTTTTCTCCTTCCCAGGTCCAGTGGGCGGGTGACTGCCCCAGGTTACAGGTCAATCTGTTCAGAACTGTGATGGTTCTGTGCCTAACCAGTTCACCCTTCCCTTCAGGTCATAGCCACCAGCTGTTCCACATCTGTGCAGTGCTGGGCACCCACTTCCAGCTGGAGGCAGTGCTGGTTGACATGAGGTCCCGTAGAGCCTGGCTGACCATGCAAGAACCCACCCTTGGCCTGGAGGCCACCATGGCCACACTGAGCATGGCAGTGATCGGGAACCTGCTCATCATTGCTGCTTTCACAGCCTCTCTGCTGCGGAGCCCTGGAACCTGCCCCCTGCTGCAGGGTGGCCCACTAGGACAGGAGCTCCAGGCCAAGCAGCAGTGAGGCCCATCTCTGGTAGTGGCATGGAGGGAGGCTGTGGAGGAGCCCTGATGGGGCCTGAGAAGCAGAGGCTTATCTGAGCGTGAAAGGAGCAGCTAGGGAGAAGAGAAAGTCTAGGGGACAGAGGACCCAAGAGGCAGGCAGTGAAGGGCAGCAAGTGAGTACAAGTACCTAGGCTGGGCCAGAGCTGGAGGTGTGGGACCTCTCACGTGGCCTCTGCCCTGCTGTCCTGGGATCTGCTCAGTTCAGGTCACCCTGAGTGCTTGTGAGCCGTCTGGACCACATACCTGCCCTGCCCCAGGGCCAGACTGGGCCACTTGTCAGCAACTGTGTCCACACAGGAGCTGCCTGTTCTGCTTGTCATTGTGGCCAGGCCTTTGCTGATTTGTATGTTTGGATGTGTCCCCAGTGATATATCGGATGTGGTGGGGTCACTGTGGGGAGGGGGCTGCTGGACTTTAGAAAGCCACCTCCAGTGCTATCACAACAAAGCAGTATAATAAACCAGACTGTAGCTTTCTGGGATTGAGTGTGAGCACTTCCACCACCCCATCACCACCACCTGAACCCCCACAATGGACAGACTGGAGCCCAGTTCCTCATCTGGACTTTATTGGAGCAGCTGTGCCACCCATACTTGCAGGGCAGAGAGAAGGAAACAGGGAGGGTCGAATCCTGGGGTAGCCAAAGTTGAGACTGCCCTAAACAGTGGTACCGTAGAAGCGGCTGTAGGCATCCTGGAAGCCGATGTGGTCTGCTAGTTCATCACAATTGGGGTTGAGCTCACACACCTCCCTCTTGGGCTCCAGGGGATCTGGGTAGGGGGCTTGGGCTCTGAGAAACACCAAATGGTGGCATCAACCAACATGTGGTACACACACCCTCTTCCCGCTGCACAAGAGGCTGGGGCTCTGGGGAATCAACTTGCACTGTACAGCCCTTGGCGCTCATGGAGGGACCCCCCTCCCCTCTGCAAACCTCTCCTTACCAATATGGAAGGCAAACAGCCCTGGCCTAGCACCTTCTTCCCACTCACCCAAGTCCATGGCCCAGGTAGCGCCGGAGTCTGTTCACTACCTTACTGCCCTCCTGCTTGGACACGAAGGCTGTGCAGCAGAGGGAGAGAGTCAGGTAATTCTGGGTTTGGGAGGAAAGGTGGGGACAGCCTGGCAGAGGGAAGGGGGAGCTGGAGACAGGGTGAGGGGCAGGGCTGAGGCTCCAGGCTTCCTACCAGTACCTTTGTCAGACTCTGAGCCCCTGGGCTTTGCATCTGTAAAGAAAAGAATATGCAGTTAGCTCTGCTTTCTGACACCCCTTCAGGAGTACGGTCACCCCCAGAAATGAACAAGAAGGAAACGCACCTGCTGGACCAGAGAGGCAGAATGCAGCCAGGGCCAGCAGAGTGAGCAGAGAGAGGGTCCTCATGGTGTCTGCCAGTTCTGCACCAGATGCTGTGTGGAACTTGTCTGCTCTGTGCCCTTCAGCCTCCAGTACCATTTATATCCACTGCCTGTGCCTCCAATGTGAGCAGGCGGGGCAGGGGATGCTGCCAGGACTAATTGGGGGGTCATGCGCCCTGGCTCAACATGTCAAACCCAAGGGATACTGTGGTTGGTGATTGCAGCTGCCTGGGCAAGGCCCTGGGAGTAGAGTGTGGGCCACAATCAGAGGCTGCCAGACCAACTCTGCCCCTCCTCTCCTAGTCTCTGTAGCTCCCTCAGCCTTAGGTAGAGCACTGGCCCTATGAGTCTCTAGAGATGGTGCAAAGGTCTAAAATAGGTTTGGGATGAACGGGGCTCCAGATCCCATAGCCTATAATTTTCAGTGCCTGCCACAAGGGCAGGAGCCAACCCCAGGAAAGGAGTGGCCAGTAATGTCCTCATTTGCCCAGCGCAGAACAGCTGAGTTCAAGTGGGGAAAGGGTGGGTAGCATGCTCGTTAGTTTTCGGTCAACTTGAAAGGAAGCGTCAGTTGAAACAATGCCTCCATAAATCTGGCTGTAGGGCATTTTCTTAATTAGTGATTGAAGGGAGAGGGTCCAGCCCATGGTAGATAGTACCATCCTTGGGCTGGTGGTCCTGGGTTCTGTAAGAAAGTGGGCTGAGCAAGCCATGTGGAGCAGGCAGTAAGCAGCACCCTCCATGGCCTCTGCAGTTTCTTCCTGACTTCCTTCGATGGACATGGATACTGAAGTGTAAACTCACGCTGCTTTGGTCACTGTGTTACCACAGTAATTAGTAACCCTAACTAAGAAGGTGTAATGGGACCAGGAGCCCAAAGTTCCCAGACCTAGGCTGACAAAGGTGAGGATGGCCTCTCCAACTCTGGCGCAGACCAGGAAGGTGGACCCTGGTGGGAAGACCTGTAAGATGTACATGCACGAATGTACGTCCGGGTTCTGACCCCACGGTTTCCATCCTGTCAGGGTAGCCTCCTAGTGTCAACCTCAGATGGGGCCTATTCCCCTGTCTTCACAGGGACAGAGCATCCTACCCTAACCCTGTCTCCCAGCCTGGGTGGGGTCGGGAATGAGAAGGTGACCTGGTATTGTGACCTGTCTGACCTTTTTGTTCTTTTGAGATGGTCTCAGGATGTAGCCCAGGCTCGCCTCAAACTCAAACCTTCCTGCCTCTGCCTCCGGAGTGCTGGGATTGCAGACCTGCTACTCCCACCCCTGACCTGTCTTCACTGTCTGCAGTCACCTGGCCACCAACCTGAATTCACAATGGTGACAGGTGACAGCGCAGGATGACAGGCAGGGGCAGGGCACCCAGAGCTCTCGGGGTCTTCTGTCCTCAGGGCTCCTCAGACAGCTCTACACAAGCAGCCCTTGGGTTAAGGAGAGACTCTCGGCCCCACCCAAGGGAAGACTGGCTCTCCTGCTGGTAGGCCTGGCTGTGGCAAAGTAGGGTGGGAAAAACAAGGGAAAGTGCTCAGCTATGCTGGGGCCTCATCACACTCTGTGCCCCCAAGAGCAGCACACGGCAGCACTGGCTACACAACGACAGCTCATCCTGACCTCGGGGAACCTAATGGTCCTGAGTCCTGCTACAAAACAACCCACCCCTTAGCCTGTAGGCTTCCAGAGCCCTCAGACTGATGTCTTGACTGCAGACAGAGCTTAGGAGTCCAGAAGTGGTCCTGACCCCAGGCGCCTGGCAAAGACACATCCTCACAGATTACAGTGTGACAGAGGAAGTTTATTTACAGATGTGGGGAGAACATGGCAAGGGCCCTTAGGCTGTTCAGCAAGGCAGCAATCAGTTCAGACTGAAAACACTAGCCCTAGTCCAGTCTAGGGAGGGCTGGAGAACCAGAAGGAGGGCATGGGGCCAAGGCTAGCTACGACTTCAGGAGACAAAGCCTGGTGCCTGATGCCCAGTGAGGGAGTGCCAGTCTTCCAGGCAGAAGATGGCGGCAGGAATCTGAAGGTAGTGTGTGGGTGACCCCACTAGAAGCTAAGCTGTAGGGTAGGGAACGGACTCCATAGGACCATGACTGCCCTCTGCTCTGGGGCCCAGTGGCTCCTCACTCAGGTGCCCTCAGCACTGACAGCAGTTCCCTCTGCTCTCTGTGAAGAGCCTGAAACCAAAGAAAAGAACAGATGTGTGGGGTATGAGAAAAATAGACCCCATGTGCCAGGCCCCTTTCCAGCCCAGGTCCCCTAGAAAAATGTGGATGGGTCTGTGGCTCATGTCACTGGTTTTGGCAAGATGTACCAGGACTCAGACAAGTGGGAAGTCCCTACCAGTCAGTAAGTATTTATGGCCATCTGGATGCCCTAGCCACCTCTGCAGGACCTCTCAAGAGCAGAATCCATATTCAACAAGGACTCTCGGGGCTGGAGAGATGGCTCAGAGGTTAAGAGCACTGATTGCTCTTCCAGGGGTCCTGAGTTCAATTCCCAGCAATCACATGGTGGCTCACAACCATCTGTAATGAAGTCTGGTGTCCTCTTCTGGCCTGCAGGCGTACACACAGATAGAACACTGTATACATAATAAATAAGTAAAATTAAAAAAAAAAGGACTCCCAAGTAGCTCCAGTTCCTTCGCCTTCACTTTAGTGATAAAAGTTGAACCCAGGGCCTGCTGGATAATGCGCAGTCACTGAGCAGTGAGGCAGTGAAAGAGGCTTTGAAGCTCCCGCACAGGATCGGCACTCAACATCTGACCCAGCTGCCGCACTTTAGACAAGCCCAGGATGGGAGCTGGGTTGGCGCTGAAGAAGAGCTGACAGGTTCAGGAACCAGGATTTGGACAACTTGTTATCCAGGGAGATGGGAGCACTAGGGAGTCTCCTGGGGATGGAGAGGCTGAGGATCCACCATGGTGGCTCAAAGTACCTAAGGACCAAGCACTGGGATACTGGAGGGGATGGGGACAGGCCTTCTGGTGTAGGGGGTTCTTCTGTCTTTCTGTTGCTTTCATTGGTTAATAAAGAAACTGCTTTGGGCCCGTCGATAGGTCAGAACTTAGGTAGGCAGGGAAGACAGAACTGAATGCTGGGAGAAAGAAGGGCGGAGTCGGAGAGATGCCAGAGGTAGACTTTGCTGAAAGGCCACAAACTCATGGTGATACACAGATTAATAGAAATGGATTAACTTAATATGTAAGAATTAACCAATAAGAAACTAGAGCTAATGGGCCAAGCAGTGATTTAATTAATACAGTTTCTATGTGGTTATTTTGGAGCTAAGCTAACTGGGTGGCTGGGACGAAGAAGCGGCCCTCCTATAATAGCCTTCCACCTGCTGCTACCTGTCTGAGACTAGGGCAGGCTGCAAAAGAGAACCAGAAGAAACCTGGGAGTCATGAGCTTCGGCAGCTGGACAATCTGCCTTAGAAAGTGGCTGTGCGCTGTATTAGGCACAGTGGGCATCTATGTGGCAGATGGAGAGGACCACTCGGGCCCTCCTTAAAACCGCACCTGGAGCCACCAAGACGCGATCTCACTACTCCAGTCACACCTGCCACACACCCAGCTCCATGAGCTCAAAAGTCCTTTGGGACCAATTTCAGAAGCTGGCTTTTCTCCCAAGGATGCACACTTGCTGGTACATGTTCCCAAGCACCAGAGGCTCTGGAGTCTTTTTAAATTTATTTTTTCATTGTGCACAGAGTCCAGAAGAGGATGACAGATCCTTGGAAGTGGAGGTGTGAGCCACCATGTGAGTGCTAGAATTCACACCCATGTCGTTAGCCTCTGGGGTCCTTCTGGCACACGCTCTTTAAGGACACTGGCCATGCCTACAGCAGCAGTAGCTGCGCCCCTGGCCTCGGAGGGTGGACTCCACATGGACAGAGAGGCCCAGGCTCTTGCCCTCTCTGCTTACATTCACTCAGCAGCAGCTGGGACTGGACCTCAGCACAAGAACTGAGGGGTCAGCCTCGCATGTCCCAGCAAGGATGCTGCATGACTGTATTGCTCCCATGGGATCCCTTAGGCTGGGAGAGAAGAAGCCACCAAGCCAGGGGCCCTGAGACAAGAGGAAATAGGCAGAGCCAAGCACTTGCCTGCCACGTCTGCTGGAGGGCCTGGATCTGCTGCTGTAGTCCCTCCAGCTGCCTGCGCCCGGCCAGGACAGCGTCAGCCAGGTCCTGGTTCTTGGCCTTCTGCTTCTGCACTCGGCGGCACAGGGCATCCCGTTGCTGCAGGAAGTAGGGTGCCATAACACTGCACAGGTCTTTCTCTGGGATTCCACTGGGTCGCCTGCGGGAGAAGGGTACATGGTTCCCAGGGGACAGGGAGGCAGGTTTCTATTTTTAAACCCAGCCTGTAACTTCAAGTCCTCGGCTAGGCTAAGATTCTTCTGGGATCCCTTTTACCTCCCAAACCTACTCCTGATGGAAACTCTGGCTTTCGCCCCTCAACCTCCCCGTCTACAGGCACACCTCTAGGCTTCCCCGTCTACAGGCACACCTCTAGGCCTCCTCACTCACGTACAGCTTGCTCCTCCACACACTCACCCATCTCCAGCACCCTAGAACTCACAGTGGCTCCCCAGACCTTGCCTCTGTCCTTATGACCATGTGTCCTGGCTGGTACATTACCCCAACAGAGTATGAGTTAGGGAGATTGGGATGAAGGCAGGGTGACCTTTCCCAGACTGGGTAGCTTCTCAAAGACGGCCCAGCCTCTCAGAGGCCCTGTGAGAGCGACCATATACAGATGAGTAAGGAGATGTTTTAGGGAGCAGGGTCACTCAAAGAGCAAACACTACTGTAGGCTCTCCTATAAGCGGTCTTCTGACCCTACACATGGCCTGCGCATACACCCCCAAAGAATACATAAATGTAATTTTAAAATGTGAGAGGTGTTCCCAGCAGAGAGAACACTGTGCCTGGAGCAGTTGTGCTGGCTTCCTGGGGGCTCTCTGGGCTGAGAGAACCAGAAGCCACCAAGTTGGACGGTGGGCCGCCCCTCTGATAGCCCATCACAGGAAGAAGGGCCACAGACACTCTAGTCCCAGGCCAGGTCAGAGGCTGATCCCCAGCCTCCCTTCCCCACTTGCTTGTCCATCCTGAGCCATGCCAGAATCATTAATTTTTATTTTGTTTTTTTGGTTTTTGTTTTGTTTTTCAAGACAGGGTTTCTCTGTAGCTTGGTTCCTGTCCTGGAACTAGTTCTTGTAGACCAGGCGGCCTCAAACTCACAGAAATCTGCCTGTCTTTGCCTTCTGAGTGCTGGGATTAAAGGCGTGCACCACTACCGCCTGGCAGAATCATTAATTTTTTAAAAGAACAAGTACAAAAAAAGATATCCAGGCTGCACCTGGTGGTCCATAGTAATCTAGAGTACCTCAGAGGCTAAGGCAGGAGGGCCAAGGTTCATGGCCTGCAGGCCAGTCAAGGTGGTGCACACTTTGATCCCAGGCAGATCTTTATTATTTAAAGTCTACACAATAAATTCTAGGCTAGCCAGGGCTATATAGGTCATGTCTCAAAACAAAGAAATCAACAAACACTTTACAGGCTCTGGCTGGAGAAAAGGGTCAGAGGTCAAGAGTGCTCAGAGGACCTGGAGCTTCAGCACCTACACGGGGGCTCCAGATCTGCTGCCCTCTTCTGACAGCCAGGCCATGAGAGCAATGCAGAGATAAGCGCAGGCAAACATCACCTACAGAAGACAGATCAGTCTGAACAACAGCGGCAAGATCATAGCCAACCTCGACTGGGAAGTTCAAGGCCAGCTGAAGGAACTGTAAAATAATTTTACACGTATGGTGTTTTGCCTGCATATATGCATGTGTACCACATGAGTGCTGGTGGAGCCAGATGAGGACACTGGATCTCCTAGAACTGGCATTAAGGATGCTTATGAGCACCCAAACCCTGGTCCTTTCGAATAGCAGCATATTCTTTATCACTGAAGCTTTCCCACGGCCCTACATTCAGTCCCAATACTATAGAATAATAACAAAGGTATATGCCAACTGTAGCCGAGAGCTGTAAGGGCAGGAAGTGGAAGGTTCCTGGAGCCCAGGCCACTCCTCACCCCAGTCAGCACTTCTGTCTCCAGCACACGGCAGACAGACAGCCATGCTGTCCAACGCAATGCCAGCTGCAGAGGGCGACTTGCTCATTCCTGAATCTCTGGTCTCTGCAATCACACTGAACATGCTTCCTAAGTGTTGCATTAACAAATTAATCAATGCCACGCGCCTGCCCACCTAAAATGTCTATGGAGACAAATCTCACTACCTGGCGTCCTCCCTGAGCCAATTCTACTTACTCCTATAAGATTCCAGGGGTCCCAGAAAGGCCTCAAACGGTTCTGTTTCAGAGGCCAGGAGTCTAGGAAGTCAGATATGGGCGAGAATTGTCTTTTTCCGGACACTGAGGCACCCTGCTGAAGTACCTTCTACCCCTTCTTACCAGGCCGGCTCTCCATTGGCTTTGCCTTCTTCAACAATCTTATCCAAGGAGTTCAGGACAGCTTCTAGGTTCCCTTCCTCTTTTATCTCTGAGATTTCCTCCTGAGCAGAAGGGAGGACAGAGCTGTGGTGACGTCATACATGCTCTCAGCAGAAACATGCTGAGCTGCTAACAGCTC